TTGAAAGACTAAATCTCGATCTCGTTTGCACATTTTCCTGATTAATGGAATCAATTTGTCAACTACTACATAAGGCAATCACCAAAACTTCAGGTGTTTTTCTGTAACTGCTTTTCCTTTTACTCTATATGACGATATAGAAAAAAACAGAAACGAACCATTGCCACCCATCACATGAACATGGGACGTTATAATTAGTACAAAACAAACAGGCCGTAAATCCTTGCTTAAAAAGAATGGGCCCGCCGACGAATCAATCTACAGACACATATATTTAGTATTTACCATCGTTTATCGTAATATTTCAGCAGAATTTATACAACATGATAGCCTAGTGGGAGGTAGCCACTACCTAATGTTTTCTTCTTTAGTGCCCGCGTTAGTACTGGCGTTTTACTCCACAGTGCTGCGGCGGAAAACAAAGCGAGGACATGTTGGTATTTCCGGCGTTCGTGATTTGTTGTCCTTTACAAAACTTCGTACTAAAATCAGGATCTTCTACTCGTTTCGGGAACAAAAATCGGGAAACACGTGGCCCCTCCTCAATGGTAAACATTTCGTTACTGGCAACGTGCAGACCAGTTCGTCATGCGGACTCTCGCTTTTGGCGCACCTAATTCCCTTAATGGTCATCGCCAGCATTCCAATTAACAAGCGTCACATCCGGGAGGCATTCTGACGATCAGTGTGCATGTTCAGCCTCGATGACGGAGGTATATACGTGGGTCAGGAATCGAATCGTTAGAAGAAGAAAAACGCTCCACGTCTGAAGAGGAAGAGCCTTGCAATGAATTGGTCTTATTTCTTTTTTAAAGATCAGTTCACAAATGTCACTACACATATCCGTCATGAATTTTGTCATGCCTAATACATGACAAAATTTCAAGACACTGGGCCTCACTGAACCAAAGCATGACTGAAGACTCACCTTCCATATCATAGCTCATTTTGTGCTGTGTTGGCTGCACGATGTGATTTAGTATTGAAGTACCAATGCCGGCATGTTATGCCATGTTCAAATAAGCTAAGTGAGAAGCGCGTAGCACGGCATGGTTTGATACACCAAAATTCGTAACAACGCATAGATACGATCTAAGGACGTATATATACGTGGCGATGACCTTTCAAAATCTGGGCAATTAACCCTCGAACTTTCCGACGAATTAAGGACCCAGGCCTGACGGGCCCTTGTCGGTTAATTTTCTAGCATATATGTAGATAAGGAATTGATCGGTTTCCATTTAAATAACGAACCCTTACAAGTACCAACGCAAATGGTCATATATAGTTTAAAGCTATTAACCCTTAGGTTTTGGTTTTCCTGGCAATAATCCTAAGGAACAAATAGCCGATTACAGATGTGACAGATCAGTAAGGGAACATAAAGAAAACGGCCAATCTTATGTAAATATCTCGGGTAAGAATTTCAGGTAGATGCGCGGGTTATCAAAGCATGCATGGCCTCTGGGTTGCAGGTACTTGATATAACACAACAGTGTACAAAAACTATTCATGTAGCGGAGTGAAACAAGGCCGCTCTTCTTCATAAAGAGCCATGGTCCAACCATATTTCAAACCCTTTTTCAATACGTCAATGCTCCATATGAATGATAATCAAAACAGCCAGTAAATATTTTGATTTCCCTGCTAAGCTCAAGACCGAGATTTCCACCAATCATTATTCGTCTAGAGCATACACAATAGCCGCTCTGCAAAGGGTTGGTGTATGTACACCTCCATGTTACTATGCAGCGTCGAAAAAAATTGCACGTTCAAGACTTCTCTCTCAAGACTTATCTTCATGGTCAGTTTCTCTTATTTTCAACGACGTTAAGTAAGGTGCCTATTTCCATTTCATTCGTGTCTGGCTTTCTTCGGTTCCGACGTTCCCAGTCAGCGCCTGCCATCCCTCCCCTATCTGGCGACACCCGGACATCACTGGATCAAGGTCGGACAGTCGCAACCATTGAACTAGACGGGCGCTCATCCGAAATGACCGATTTCGGTTCCTCCTAAATCGCATTGTATTATGTAAATGACTGCTGAATGGTGCGACATATCAAAGAACTTTGGGACTTTGGGACCATGGAGCGAAGCTTGAACCGAGAGACGTCACATGAGTCCGAACACATTTGAATAAGCGATGGTCTTGTTTTGATCGCATCACACCTGGCGCCGTGTCGTGCGCCTGTCGTGTGGCTGTGCCGAGCTTCGAAGTGATACGACAGCGACTATACATCGACTAATTTTAAATCAGCAGTGCATGCATGCTATTGCATGGCAGAACTATCTTTAAACAGAAAACACGATAAAGCCAGAGCTTCATTCAGCCCATGCACATGCGCTGACCGTTTTGCCGCTTTCGTCTTGACCGAGCTGCTCATTCAGCCCATGCACATGCGCCAACCGTTTTGCCGCTTTGGTCTTGACCGAACTGGCATTACGATCATACCCCATTTTAATAGCAATAATTATCACTTCGACGCCTTTGCGACGGGTGACGAGCGAGATGAGTGAGGTCCTGGGAGGGAGGTGAGGTGAGGTGAGCTGACGTGAGGTGAGGTAACGCGAGGTGAGGTGAGGTGAGGTGAGGTGAGGTGAGGTGGCGTAATGTGAGGTGAGGTGAGGTAACGTGAGGTGAGGTGACGTGTTCGTTATCACCCTGTCCAGAATGAGGTCCTGGGAGTGAGGTGAGGTGAGGTGACGTGTTCGTTATCACCCTGTCCAGAATGAGGTCCCGGGAGTGAGGTGAGGTGAGGTGACGTGTTCGTTATCACCCTATCCAGAATGAGGTCCCGGGAGTGAGGTGAGGTGAGGTGACGTGTTCGTTATCACCCTATCCAGAATGCAAAACATAGCCGGGTGGAGCCCGTCGCATTTGGGAAATCATGTGAAAAGAGTTATGGACGCAGCGAAGTATAATCTCTTCATTAATTACGCGGGCAGGCGTGCTCTGATGTCTAGCGTCCGCACTTAATCATGGCAACACTTCTGGAAAGCTGATTAGCTACGTGTTGGCCTGACCCAACGATTTCAATCGACAGAATCGATGCATTTGAATCACTTAAAGAGCTTTGGCTACTGATACCAAAGTACGGCTTAACACACAAAACGGTTTAGGGGAACATCAGCCATGATGAACAGGATCCTACGAATGTGTAGTATTCGTGCCCAAGTCCCTCCCGGATTCGAGCCTTCTGTTGCAGATCAGCTTCAGAGGTGACCTTAGTGGCTAGTCAGTCGATTGCTGCCCCCCCCCCCGCATTCAGTCGCACAGTTTGAGCTCCGTCAGTGCGTTGTAGCCAGCACGTTCGCTTTCACTGTGCAATTGGTTGCAGTTTTCACCTTCGTCACTCACTCTGCTAGCTCAGATCCGACGTAAATCGCCAAAACGCCTCACAACGCTTGGATGGTTTGCGCACGATTACGCGCAAGTCTGGACGCATTGCCCAGCACTTCTGCCCGTGAAATTGTCTATTTCCTCCTCCGCCATTATTAATTACTCTCATATGTTCGGCCCATGCGCCGTCGTTCAGTCACGGGGCTTTACGTCACACTCAGCTGCTGGGGCTATATGGCGTCGTCTGTCTCTCACCATGGCAGGAAGGGTGGGCGCCGCCTTTGCCGGCGAGTCCCTGCGACGCCTGGTGGCCGATATCTGAACCCGTTTGCGATCTGTTTTCTTCAGCTTTTTGTGATTTAAAACTTGTAAGCTTCCCCCGCTACATAGAATGGAGAGAAGAAAAAAATAGGCATCATATCTTGCAGAAATACCCCGCCCCTTGATTGAACGTTCCGCATTTACATGTCTTGACAAGATTACAGCAAAACTTTAAAATAATTATACCACTTGTTATAACACTTTTTTGCAACGTTAAAATGAGTGGCTGTAAACATATAATCCCGGGAAAAGGCGACTGGATGAGCCGGGTCACCGAAGCATCATGAGCTATTAAATGTGGCTCCTATTGTAATAATTAATGTTCCACATCAACACGGTTTTCAGGTAGTCGGTGCTACGGCTCCGCACAGAAATTCCGTGGCATGCAGGATACGACGCTCGCGCGGGTATGTTTGTACGCTTGTATGTATACAAGTGCCTGACATTGTTGACCTCTGCCACCTTGTTTATCTCTGTGACGATTGGCAGTAATGGCCTGAAGTTTATCTTGGGCCAGCAAATACATGGCAAGGCCTCGCTCAGCGTGCTGCATCACTCGTTATTGAAAGCGCCTCCATCTCCAGGAAACTGGATCCATTTTACACATGTGGAAAAGCTTGTGAAACATTAGGACAAACCGCACATTGGATATTTTTCTCTCATCCTGTTTTCGGAAAATCCAGCCTTTCGTTTACCAAGCTGAGGATTTTCCTGGTACATCTTGGGGAGAGCTCCAACCCCTATCCATTTATGTTCGTCCTCCGCTAAATTCAAACTAGCATAAAACGTTACATATAAAGCGTGGTTCATATTGTGCTTTTTCATGGTTTATTCCTTTTACTGCTGTGCTATAGTCGACGGTCCTGCAACTGAAGTTAGGAACATTACTAGGTATGCACTAGGTGTCAATACATTTGATGCGTTTTTTGTTTGCTGGTCAAATATTGAGATCACACTTTGAAAAATGCAGCTGAGTGTATTTATCTATCTATCTATCTATCTATCTATCTATCTATCTATCTATCTATCTATCTATCTATCTGTCTCTTTATATATATATATATATATATATATATATATATATATATATGCGCGGTAAGCTCTTGCGTGACAGACCCTAAGCCAGCCGGGGCAGGGCGGGATGACCCCTGGAAAATATGCGTCTACAGTCCGTCCCACGTTTTGTCGACTGAGGTGGCAATTCCACACGCGAGCGCGGAACACCATGCCTGCAGAACAGCATGGAAATGAAAACAAAACAGGTCGCAAAAATTGGTCATGACACAAAGCTCTCCGATTTACGCTGCCGCGCGCAGTGCCAGCAAGCGCCTGGACTTACTGAAATCGATGAGCAGTCTGCCATAGCCCTGACGCTGGTAGGGTGGCAGGGTCATGATGCATGAGACGTTGTAGTTGAGGAATGAGTTCTTCTCCTGTGGACAGAGCAGCGGACGCGATTGGAGCCAGGGTGTCGCCGTGCGTCCGTGTCGGAGACAGAGCTAGGCACGTCGTGAGAGGCGAGAGCGCCGACAGAACAAGACAGGAACGGTTCTTGTTCATTGGTGTTTTCGGGCTCGTCGACTGCAGTAGTCATTTTGCGCCCATAACGATAGACAGGAGCGGGTGAGAACGCCCATCTCCAAACACTGGCAGCGTAACACTGTGTGTCGATGTCGGAGACAGGACTAGGCATGTCGTGAGAGGCGAGAGCGCCGACAAAACAAGACAGGAGCGGGTGAGACCGCCCATCTCCAAATACTGGCAGCATATGACGTTCATAACACTGTGGGGGACGGCGCACGCCATTACATCATAACGCCCAATAAACGCGGCGCGACCATTGACATCGGAACATGAAGACTGCTCAAACGGTCAAGGACACGAGACCATTGCGGAAGTTCCGTACATTTTTACAGCCTCGGCAAGAACCAAGCTTCGTGGGGCCGCCACTGCGACAGCGGGCTTGGCTGAGCAGCGGTCGTGAGGTGCCAGGGTCACGGGGGCAGGAGGGGGGGGGGGGGGTAACCTGCTAGGCAACCACAGTGTCGATCATTCCATCAATAAACACTGTCGCGAGGGAGGCCCCAAGACGGCTATGACGCTGCTGAACCCGGTATGGGTCGCGGCGTCATCAGAAGGCGACCGATCTGGGTTTCCAAAAATGAGTGAGGATCCAAATAGGGTAACATCATAATAAACTTCACAAGTCACCGTTCCTTCCCAAGACATCCAGCGTGCGTGAGCCAGCCTGGAACCCTGCACCTCCACAGGGCGTGAGCCAGCCCGAGCCTCTGTGCCTCTACATGGCATGAGCCAGCCCGAGCCTCTGCACCTCCACAGGGCGCGAGTCAGCCCGAACCTCGCCCTCACAGCTGAGCCACCGAAACCTCTCTGCACCTCTAAGGGCGTGAGCCACCCGAACCTCTGCACCTCTACAGGGCGTGAGCCAGCCCGAACCTCTGCACCTCTACAGGGCGTGAACCAGCCCGAACCTCTGCACCCCTACAGGGCGTAGGACAATCCAGGTCCCTGGACTCCAAGTGCGTTCGGCGTCAGCACATCCCTGCACCTCCCTCTTACGTCAGCCAGGCGGACGTTTTGCCCAGGGTAACAGCCGGTGCTGGTGCCCCTCGGTCGCATACGCCGGTCCACACGCGCGCCGGCGCCGGCCCGCCGCGCTGTCCAGCTAGCAGTACCCCTGTCTTATTCCTCGGCAGGCTGGCCGGCGCCGTCCGCCGTCAAAACAAGCCGCTGAGGACGGCGCTGCCTCCGCCACGCCGGTGAACGCGGCCACGTGACCAGCCGGCCGCGGCGTCGCACAAACAGGGGTGCTGCGTCCCGGGGGTCGGCCGCGCGCTCGGCAACAAGCCGAAGGGGGTGGCCGTGGGCGAGACGCCACAGCCTGCGGAAGGGTCCTCGACAGGCCGCCGGGCGATGCCAACCCAGATCAGCAGGAAACCCGTCCGAAAAACACCGCGCGGAGGCGCAAACACCGTATCGGGGCCGTCATCTCCCGCGCTTCAGGTAAACCAGCTCCGCTGCGCCCGCCGCCAGGATGGTCGAGCTTGCAAGGCCAGTCGGCCGGGGCGGCGGCCGACTTCAAACACAGCACGCGCGCCCGCCGCCGGCGCCCCGTCTGCCCTTCGGCTGCGGCCGCACGCGCCAGTTGCTAGGGGCGAGAGGCCACGCGCCGCGGCCGCGACCGGCAGGGTTCATCGCCCGCGGGCGGCCGCGCGCCTTTGAACCGCGGGCTGCGGGGCCGATCGACGAGCCCCGGGTCACTGGCCTCCGGCCGGCCGCGAGCTGCTCCCTTGCGCCGACTCCCAGCTGGAGTAGCGCGGCGGGGCCGACGACGGCGCGGCAGCGTGGCCAGCGCACGTGGTGTCGGCGAGAGAGAGAGAGAGAGAGAGAGAGAGAGAGAGAGAGAGAGAGAGAGAGAGAGAGAGAGAGAGAGAGAGAGAGAGAGAGAGAGAGAGAGAGGAGAGAGAGAGAGATGAGAGAGAGAGAGAGAGAGAGAGAGAGAGAGAGAGAGAGAGAGAGAGAGAGAGAGGAGAGAGAGAGATAGAGAGAGAGGAGAGAGAGAG